GCTCCTCCTCCTCTGTCCGAGGCTGGTGTGGGGTGAAAATCTTCCACCTCAGACGTTCAGATGTACCTCTGCGATACTGTGGTCACTCTCCATGTAGCATCAATTATGCTAATGCTAGCTGCCTGTCACGTTCTCTCGTCCTGGCCACACCTCCGCTCTCTAACCCCCCTTTCCCCTACCCACACCCCCTCCCCTACCCTTTTTGATGCATTTTTCAAATTTCGCCTTGGGGTGGAGTTATCTTTTCACAGGGGGGTAAGATACACTTTAACCAGTTCATTTATATTGTGTTTAAGCAAATGACGACATTTTTATTCGGGGTTATTTTTATTGGATCAAATTAATGTGGGGGGTCATGACCCCCCTAACCCCCCTGCAAATTACACCTGCGGAGCAAAATCTATGCAAAACTTAAATGTGTGTTTTTAAGAACAAAATAATTAAAACATGAGATTTTTCACCCAGGAATTTATCTCTGCTGATTTATTCAGGCATCACGACGGTGCTGACCATGACGACTCTGAGCACGATCTCCAGGAAGTCCCTGCCGAAGGTTTCCTACATAACCGCCATGGATCTGTTTGTCTCCGTCTGCTTCATCTTCACCTTCGCTGCTCTCATGGAGTACGGCACTCTGCACTACTTCACCAGCAACCGACAAACCAAGAAGGCCAAAGGCAGCAACAACACACAGGTACCCAGCGTTCTCGTTGTCGTTTCCTCTCCCCAGCTGAGCGTCACATCTGGAATAATCCYGCTGTCTTTGCAGCAGAGGGTCCCCAGCATGGTGAATCTCCGACCCGGGGCGTCCCTGTTGCAGATGAACAACATTGTGCCCTATCACGTGGAGGACGACTACGCGTACGATTGTTTGGACGGGAAAGACTGCGCCAGCTTCTTCTGCTGCTTCGACGACTGCCGGTCAGGCGCCTGGAGGGAAAACAGGATGCACGTGCGAGTTTCTAAGATCGACTCTTACTCTAGAATATTCTTTCCCACTGCTTTTGGCCTTTTCAATCTAGTTTACTGGATAGGTTATCTGTATTTATAAAAACAAAACCCTAACAGTTCAGCAGGGATGCTGGAGTTTGACATCTGCAAACATTTCATCTGCTTTTAGATTAGTTACAGAACAACTTTGCAAACTCTAAATCTACCATCAGCCTGCCTGCAGTGAGGCGTGGCACCTTCGTCCTCTGCTCAWTCCTGAYATAAAGCTAAATGTTCRGCTGACTTTTTGTGAAACTAGCTGWGGATAAAAAGTGTTTGCACACRTCAAACTCCAGCCTGCATAAAGGATATATCGCCATCAAATTTTAACCCAACTTTTTGTTTACTCTTTGCTGCTATGCTTGATATAWATTGTTCAAACGCAGAAAAGAGGAAGTGCTCTGAACTGTGGATTCAAGGGAAAACCGTCCCTCTTTTAAAACTTGGATTTTTGTTTTGAAAGGTTATTTGAGTGAAGAAAAGCCAGTTCATYTGTGGAAACCGATGTAGAGATTATGGTTGTTTTTATGGCAGCCAGGTTTTATACTCTGTATCATACTGTGTGTTACAAATCAAGTTGATGTGGTGTTCAGACTAAAAAAAAACAGCTGTTCAATTTAATATATCCAGCTGTAAATTGTTTCTTTACTGAACACGTTTGCAAAAAACTCAGCTCTCCATGTCGCAGTATCAATGCAMCAAAAATTAAAATTAAACAGGTTTTCTTTTTTAAAAATGGAAAACTGGAAAAAACTTTTGCTAAAAATGAAATTAATTTATGAAATGACACCCCCACCCCCATAAAAAATCAAACATCCAGCATGTTTTAGACACTGTTCCCACCCATAACCTCATAAAAACTGAGGACAAAGAATATTTTCCGTACCTCCCCTCTTTAAAAGACTTCCACCTCTCAGCAGACAGAGCGGAAGCAGCGAAGAAGTCAGAGTTTTGAAGCGTTAGCCGCTAGCTTAGCACCTTCCTCTGGGACCTTTTTGGCAGCTGCTACGCATTAAGCAGCTCGTTAGTCAGATTAGTTCAGTGACCCACAGTGGGAAACTCTGAGCACAGACAGTTTTGACCACTACTAAAAGTGTAAATTGATGGCGGCTGGCTTTGCTCGCTGCTGATTGGCCGAGGGCTCAGTTTTACTGTCGATAACTCTCAACATCGCTCTCATGCTTTTTAATGTCCTTTTTCTACACAGTAACTATAATTATGAAGATGATGGAGRCCTTCATCGTCTTGCCTGATTGGTGAGATTGGCAGGAAGAAAGGAGAAAACTACTCAAGTCATAAARCTGTTCACAAAAATTGGGAAAGTAGAGGTAAAAGTAAAAGTACTTTTACACACTCTCTAAAAACAAACTGTTRAATTTACTGAACCAAACTGGTTCCACTAAGCCAGGTTGAGTAAATTGAGCAATATATCTATTTTATTTGCTCACTAGGCTTAGTGGAACCAGTTGACATGACTTTGTTGAGTAAATTCAAGACTTCATTTTTTAGAGTGCAGAAACATCTTATTTCGTGTTGAGTTTAAACACATTTAATTTTGTAACAAGTAACTAGGTGTTAAATCTTGAAGTAAAGAAGTAAAAGTTTCATTTTTAGCTTTAAAATGTGACAAAATAAAAGCAAATTATAAAAAATTATAAATCCTCAAAAGAAACCACTGTAACAAAAGTAAATGTTAAAGTTGCTATAAACCTCTGGTTTTCTTATTTTAATTTCTCTTCTGATGTTTATTTATTTTTGTAGAAAATACAGTTACGGTGCTTTTACGCTACCATYGTGTGGATCAGAGTACAAGTACACACATATTATCAGATCAAAACCTGGTACTAGTATTGGTGTCTGTGCATCCCTGCTTCATGGAGATCTGAGTTTGCATTTAAACATATGTGTTGCATGTAAAGTACATCCCAGCATCGTATCTGTCTGCGCAGCAATAGTTTCAAAGGCAGCTGTCAGTAGCATAAAGTAAAAAACAAACAAACAAACAAACAAACAAACACAAAACAAAACAATAATCTTTGTGTCCATTCAGTTTTATTTTTTTACCGCGGCCATGCGTTCATTTTGAAAGATCATTTCTTGGGAAATGGCAGAGGTTCATAAACTCGACTTGTAGTTCAGCATTCCAGAGGTTTTACACTGAGGTTGCGTTTTAGCCAACCAGGAAATGAATTCAAACACTTTTATTTTGAAAAAGCACCTCTGCCTTTGATTTTTAGTTTTAAAAGAGGAGTTTTAGCACAGGAATTACGCTGACTTGACATAAAACTAAACGTAAAGATTCCAGTTCTCCCATAGCTCTCAGCCACGGAAACAAACGCAATTGGATCATTTTTCAACTCGTTTCGTTGCAAAAGGAGAACCAAAGGTGTTGTTTAGGGATGAAAACATGATTCAGTATTGTTCAGAGGCAGACGAATCACTGTTGTCATGGTAGCCTCACAGATGAGGAGATCTCTCTCTAACTTGGTTTTGCAAAAACAGGTCCTTTCCTGATGTTTTTTTCTCTTAAAACACTCATTGTACAGTTTTAATTATGAAACAAAACAGAGCTGAAGATAAATAATCTTTTCTCAGCTGTTTATTACAGAGTTAAAAGGATTTTGTCCAAGAAAACGAAATGCTGCAAAATTATTCAGCGCCAGAATATTTTTAATATTTTCACGTTGTTACAGTTGCTGCAAAATTTCCTGAAAATATTTATATAGGAGCCCCTTTCAGCCATAAAACTATGATCAACTTCAGCTCACATAAAGGCTTATAATTTTTATTTTTGTTTATTTATTTAGCATTAACAGTATATTTTTTACAAAGCCACAGTAAAAACCTGACTCCAGCAGAATGTTCAGCATCACCAGGAATCCTCAGCTCTGACAATAAAAAACACCAAATATTTATGTTGTTAAGACCGAATGTGTCCGACTGTAACGTCACGGCTTTTAAKTATCAATGTTTGTTAAATTATACTTCAAAACGTTGAGCTTCTGGTGAGGAATGTACTGAAAGACGATCTATGCAAACATGAYTTCTGTTGTTCGATAACTGAATATGATCCGGTCAAAAAGATTCACGTCCAGCTTAAATACAGAGTTTAGTCTTTAAAATCTGGTAGTCATGCAAACATTGATGAGTTGTGTGGAAACATTTTAATTAAAGTGCTTTTATTCTGATGAAAGTTGATMAAACAGTAAAAACAGTTGAATTTCTACATCTTCTGACCTCTTCAAACCAACTTTGACTTGTTTCTGCAGTAGTAAGCCTCTCACCTCCAGTTTATCCRTTATTAATTAGAGTTTTAAGAACAAAACAAACTTTTTAATGTCTCGTAGCATTTGCAGAAGGTTTGGAGAGCTGACCTCAACTTACGGAGGAAAGAATGTTTTGCCTTTTTGTCTTTTTTTCCTGCATATTTAATGTCTTAAACTCATTATATATTCAGTTCCTTTACAGCAGAATGAGCTTCTTAAAGGGATCCACGATTAGTTGTAACATTAGACTTTATTTGATAAACATTTATTTTAACTGCAAAACATAGTCTGTAAAAATACCGTATAATGTTTAGTTTAGAACATTTTTTAATGTAATTTAAAAAAAAATATTTTAACATGGACGGAGCCGTACCTTTCTTGATGTTTTTGTGCATGTTTAATCACTCGCACAAGTAGTATGTTTTCTGTGTTAAAATCATTGTTCAGTTGCATGACGTATGTAGCAGAGCTCTCTTTTTATCATTGTTTATATTGTAGCAGTGTTGTAGCTAGGTTAGCGGCAGCCTGTCGGCTAACTGGAATGCAGTTTTTATACAATTTGTTGGGAAATTACGTCACTACCACATTCCAGTTCTGGGAATATGAAACAAATGCAACACGGCATGAAATGACTCAGTCTGCAACTGAAAATGAGCTGCTTCATTGAAGAAGAACCTCAGCTTAGCCTGTTAGCTTTAGCACCGACATTATATTTCCTTATATGTATTAGCTCGGCACTAGYGCGACAAACAAGCTAAACTGAGGTCCTCCATCCATATTTTCAGTTGCAGTCTGAGTCATTTTTGCGTTCCCCTCTCTGTTATGTGGATGGAGGACCTCAGTGATGAGAGAAGAATGTGTAGCGCTGAGCTAATGCATATAAATGGTGATAGCATCAGGGCTAATGCTAAAGCTAACAGGCTAAGCTGAGGTTCTTCTTCCATGAAGCAGCTCTGTTGTCCTCCATCCATATTTTCAGTTCCAGGCTGAGTCATTTTTGTGTTCCCCTCTCTGTTATGTGGATGGAGGACCTCAGTGACTAGAGGAGAATGTGTAGCGCTGAGCTAATATACACTCACCGGCCACTTTATTAGGT